GGCTGCCCATCTATGAATGCCTATCAAATGCAAATTAACAGAAGGGCTGAGATCAGACTTGAAGTTGTGTCTCAGGACAATGTGTTCTTTTCCCAAAGATCTGTATCTATCTAGTGCCATTTAAGAGTAAAGTTGGGACATTCCTTTGCTAACTCTGTGTTCTTTGCCTTTTTATCTTGTTGCTCTTGACAGGGTTAATTGAGAAACCAGAGCTACTGCTAGATGGATCTGGAGAACATGTTTGTGCAACTCAGGCATCAGGAGAGTCCAGGCCTACATTCCAGGGTATAGGTTGGCAAGACTGCGCTATACAGGAAAGGTATCAGACATGGGCACCATACTTTGGAATGTGCCTAAGTGACACAGAGCAAGGGACAGTGCCCACTCAACCAACTATGAGTAGTTTAGGAACGCTAGAATCCAATGGCCGGATCCTCTCACAATAAGCTGGTGTCTTTTCCAAGAGGTGACTGGGTTAGGTTGCAGCACCACCTACTAATAACACTCTTTTCCTTCCATGCTTTGTTTCTCTTGTCTATTTAGACTGTAAACTCTAACACCAAGGACTGCCTCTTACATTGTGTTTGTATAGCACTGCACAATACAGATCTGATATTGGCCAGGACCTCTAAGCATCTGTGTAATAAAAATAAAAACCACCATCATCCACGGAGAGCAATATTTTATTTGTGTGGTTTTAATTACTTTGGGCTTGGATTCAAAGACTCTAAGTGAATAAAATCAATTTGCCAGGCTCATACTTCAGGAAAAACTGATCATTTGCATAGGATCATCAAACAATTATTTTGTCTCACATGCAGGATCTGCATGAATGACTAAGCAGATTACTGAGGGATAGGGTTTGCCTTGATCTGAACTATCAGCAGCTACTAGCCATGTCTGGAAAAAGGATCCACACATTCATGAACAAACTGCTTGATCTGAAATGGTGACTCCTATATAAAACATGGAGCTAGCAAAGAAATTACTCAGCAACCAGTGAGGCTGTCCTCAGCAACCATTGAGAACGCCTGAGGTGAGAAAAGGAGTGATACTGACCTGCCATTCATCAGCATCACTGTAGAGAGTTACAGGAATCTCTTGGGGTTTGTAAAAATGCTTTGCCCTCTCAGTAGTGACCACCTGCACTTCCACCTAAAGAGAGGAGAGGGCAGATAGATAATTACAGCTTAATGTAAAAGCCAGGATGAGATACTGAGTAAAAGCAGGAGGACATGGGTGGCAAAGCATTTGGGATCCGGCTCCGATACGAAGAAAACTTACCCTTGCTACTCACATCTGCATTTACTCCTTCCACACACTGAGGAAGAGATGAGGCTCAAGCAAGTGCTAACACTCACTCCAGTTCCTCAGAGGAGTAGATAGGTATTTAGTTATTTGGTCCCTTGTGTATATAAACCACTGCATAACAGTGGTTGGGCCAGCGAAGATGACTAAAGTTAGTTATGTAGATGGAAGAGAGCCATGATTCCGAGCAGAAAACCTTCAAGATGACAAAAAATGAAGCTCCATAAAAGGTGCTATTTGATCATGAGATATGCATGGAAAAGGTGTGTGAGACTGCCTGGCTCTGGAAGCACCCCTAGACCATGGCACCAAGGGCTGCAGGTTGGAAGAAATCACAGCATTTACCTATTGGGGCATATGTACAGGTAGCACAATGGCAGTGCTTTGTGGAGAAACTCAAGTCAGCTAACCTAGCCTGACTTCTGGAAGAAGCATGACCACATCAGTGTGGCACTCTGTCAAAATCTAATTTACCCTGCTGAGTGCAGCATTGCACTGACATGGCTAACCTGCTTCTGATGCTCAAGTAGGCTCATTTAGTGCTAACTCAGGAAACTGTTCAGTACAGCATTGTTCTGTGTAGACTCAATCTTCATTTCCTAGGGCTATTGCTGATTGGCAAGAATTTTATTTAGCTGACTCTATCTAACTGAACCTCCTGCATAAGAAATTGAATTGCATTCAGCAGCCTATCAGCCTTGGTGTAACTGCACGGTTTTATCTACAAGGAGATGAACTGTACCACTTTTCCCCTAACATCTGATGCATATCCACACATATTTCCAGCAGTCAGGATGCAGGTATAGGGATTTTTATTACCATGTCATCTACTCCAAGCCAGGAATAATGGTGGTGGCCAGTGGAAACCAGTACTTCTCACTATAGCTTCTACCTGAGGAGATGCAGCCATGACAGAATTTGAGGAATGTTCATAGCAATATACTTCTTCATGGGATTTAGAAGATTTACGCACTGTGAAAGAAACTGTGTGCACTCCTGTTGTTCGCATAGGCTGACGCAACTTCTGAGCTTCACGGTGGTATCTCTTATAATCAGGGTTGCAGTGAGGAAACAGGTTTACCGATCTCAACAACACCATCTGTTTTACAGCCAGGCTCTTCCTAACAGACTAAGACCTTCATTGTTATCTCCATCCTTGTTAATGAAAATAACCAAAAGAGTGGAAAAGTCTAGCTCTAAAAATGTCAGCGTTTTTTGGTAATTTTTTCCTGTTAACTGCAGAATCTAATCTCCACACAGGAACATTTACTAGCATCACTACACTGGTATAATTATGTCACTGTTAATATATTTATGTGGCTGCCATGTAGACCTTCCTCCTATGGAATAAAAAAAGAGTCCATTTCTAATTTAAGCTATACTGCTTTGAAAGTAGTTGTATCAGAACATAATGAAGGGGCACATACCTATAAACTGCAATCTGAGCAACAAGCAGTTAGCTGGAGTACCCAGAACTTTTTAAGGATGCATATGGCAGCCTCATTTGGCAATCAGGAAATTCCCCACTACATGGGGTAGATGTCAATCTGTCCAGCACACCTCAATTACTATTAGCAGTACTGAAACCGAGTTATTTTTTCAAGGCTGCTGTTAAAATATGGCCCTCTAAATAACAAGGCAATTAGGCTTAATATAGAATGGAAAAGCTCTGAATAACAGGCTTTGAGCAAGGATGCAAGGAGCATTAATCAGGTGCCAAAAACTGAGAGCATGATGTTCTTGAACTAAGTAGAGGCAGGTTTAAATTGGAATAAACAGTGCCTTTAAATAATGAAGTCAAAGGGATATGGCAAATAGCTAGTTCCATTTGTACTAGTTAAGTGACTGCCTGTAATGCCCACAGGTGTCTTAAGTAGCTTATACAGTACAGTATATTCCTGTCCTTCCTTCTTCCCTGGACATATTTTTCACAAGAGGACCTTACCCTGGGTATCCTGCATCATCAGGCTCTTTCCAAACATTTTTGCTTGTTTTCAGAGCACTTATGTGAAATTTCACACAAGTTTTTAGCCTTTTCCATCACTTCCCTCTTAACCTCACATTGTCAATAGTTAGTTTCTAACCCAACAGCAGCAGTAAAGGTGTTAACTCCACTACCAACGATTCCATTTCTTCAACGAGATGTGAAACTCAAAGTCTACTGGTTATTATTTAAAGGTCACCTGATACAGAATTTGCAATCTGTAGGACAGATCTCTACTTTAAAATGTTACTAGTATTACTATAGCCAGGTCTACACTAGAAAACGTTGCCAGTAAGTCTATGATTATTATACTACCTTTCTATATTGGCAAAAATGCTAGTGTAGATATAGTGATAGTGACACTTTTGCTTTGCACCTCATTTAGTTCATGGAACTGGTACAACTTGTGTTCTGCTGGTATAAACTGTGCCTACATTCAGAGTGTCTGCTAATAAAACTATACTCACAAGCTCGTTTAAATGTGAACAAAGCTTAGGTGGATAGGGATGTTATTTTTTTTGCAATACAGCTATATTGTTAAGGGCCTAGTGAAGAGGCATTTAAAATCAGTATAACAGTGTCTTGTATCCACTTAGTTTATTTCTATTCATGAGCCACAATAAGCTATACTGGTACCAGAATTTTCTTATGATGTAAGTGGGTGTATCTACATGAGATGTTTACTGCAGAGCTGACTCATTAGCTCTGTGGTAAAAGTCTCAGCGTCTACAAGTGTGCCTCCACCAGGGCGCAGGAAATTAGGGTAAATACAAGCGCTGCCTTATTGCAGAGTTTTTACATGTGAGGCAACACACATGTAGAAGCTGTCTGGGGCACAAGGGTGCTTCAGTACAAGGGCTGCCATGCTGAAGCACCCTCATGTCCCAGCCAGTCCCTCCACAACACCCTGAGCCCCGCCAGTCAGGGCTGCTCTGACTGGGTTCCATGTGCTGTGCATGAATAAACTCCAGAGCTGATTCCCCTGGAATTAATTAATCCCAGGAGCATGTTCAAACAGCAGAGTGCATGGGAGCAAAAAACTCGCAAGCGATAAACTCTGGAGTTTATTCATGTTGTAGAAATAAATTTAACCAGGCCTCTAACTTGACTAAGAAAAAGAGAGTGAAGAAAAAAAAAAATTGAAAAAGATGCTGATGCTGTATGTTTAAGAATATTCTAAGATAAGACAAACCCTTCTGCTTTATTATGTCTTTTACAGTTCTTTGGGAACAAATGTTTCTCCCTTTCCTAAAATCAACAAGATGATAACAGTTCTCAAAACAAAATGTGTTGCTGAGCAAGCAACTGTTATGTGTGACAACCGAATGATCTACCTCTTGCTGTCATTCAAGGTTGCTTTGTTTAAATCATGCATCTGTTCTCTCAGTCTTAGGTATAAAAAGGTATGTTAACTTGTAGAAGGGAGGAGTTCTGTTTGGAACCCTCCCTGTGATCGCTTGTATGAGCTCCAATAAACTCAGACTGGGTCTGTTAATTCTATAACAAAACACAACGCAAAGTTTGATTTCTTCCACAATGTGCACTAATTGCACATGTAGACATGCCCACTGGGTCCACATTAGAAGTATTTTGCTGCTTTGATACTGGTACAGTTAAATTGTCTAGTGTTTCTAAAGGCTTGTTTACAAGCACTTTGCTGGAATTAAGGTATATTAAAAACCCTCTCTTTCTGCCATCTCTTCTATAGAATCAAAGGCCAGCCTAACCTTCTGTGTAACACCAGCCACAAAGTTTCACCTAGCAAGTCTTGTATCTACCCTAGTATGAACAAGAGCATATCCTTTTGAAGGACAGCTTATCTTGATTTATAGACTCCAAGTGATGGAGACTTCACCATGTTCCTAGATAACCTGTTCTAATGATTAATTATTCTTGCTGTTACACATGTTTCTGCTGGGATGGGCTCATTACTTACCTGTTCTGAACAGGTCTTTCATGTCCTTCCCTTAGGCTGGAAAGAAATCAGTACTCCCATTGTTGCTTTCCCCTGGGTATTTTTCCTTTCTGTTTATCTGTAACAGCCTCTGGGCACGTCTAGGTTTAAAGAGGTTTGCTGGCATAGTTATATTGACAAACTCTTCTAATAAAGATGTAGCTTAGTCTGGCAAGGGAGTCCTCCTGTTTAAACCAGTTTCCTGAACAGAATAAGCTGTACAGGTAAAAGGAATGTGTTGCCAGTATCACTGTGTCTACATATTGGTATCTGTTGGCTTTCCCATGTCAGTTAAGTATACAACTTTCTCATACTCCTAACCAATATAGTTGTGCCAGAAAAATAAAAAGTGTATACTGAGCCTCTATAATAGCTGCAATAAGCATGTGGCTCCTTTGCTAAAGTGCTACCATAAGCTGATGTAGCTGTCACCTAATAGAGAGGAGTGCGATGGAGTCATGTGGTATGTTCTTCCTGCTTGAAGGCTCAACAAATACCCAGAGGTGTGTAGAGTGGTGATCTGCATCCAGAGCTAATTCTGGCTTACATGTTTCACTGTCTCCCCCAGCTGATGCTCTGCCTCTGAGCTTATCTGTCGGTGACAGCAATGATTTGGTGTACACAAGCAATGTATGAACATGTCAGTAATCACCAGACCTTCCCAACAGCCACACTATTCCTTTCTACTTCAGCAGACCTTATGGTACTGATAACCTTAAACATGTTAACTGATACAGAGTTCAACTTCCAAGGTTCTTGGAAGGTCTAAGTCAGTGCCTAGGAGAGGTGTTAATTTCTGCATTCATCTGAAGGGGGTTCTAAATCTGAAACGTAACAAATCTACATTGGTAACTATTCCCCTGCTCATGCTTTCAAAAGAAACTTTGTCCTAACATGTTTATCCTACAGTCCCAGACCTCCAACCACATTTCCTTGGGTACCAAACACTTCACTTACTCCCTAAACAGCTTCCACTGACAACTTCTTGAAAATAATTCTACAATGTCAATACAAAAGTCTTCAGACAGCTGAAAACAGAGGATGCGATTCAGGACCATTGATGTCACTGAAAGACTCTTATTGACTTCAGAAGCCCTAAAATTGTGTAGACAGTACAAATAAATAGAACTTATTATCAAGAAAAATGCAGGGACTCCTGAGTTATCTGGATCTTCATTATTTCATTCACTGAAAACCCCCATTTTATTTTAAGAGAAGCTGATACAAAACTTCTCAGCTTCTGCACTGAAGCATCATAAGGTTGTTGGTTGTAGCTGTGCTGGTCTAAGGACACAGGTAGACAAGGTTCTTTAGGTAGATTTGATCTTTTATTAGACCAACTAAATAGTTGGAAAAATTATTATTCACAAGCTTTCGGGCACAAACATCCTTCTTCAGGCATTCTCTGTTGTTCTCTCTCTATATATATGCAGACTCCCTATATGCTTAAGAAGGGCATTTGCGCCTGCAAGCTTGCAAAGAACAATTTTTCCAACTATTTAGCTGGTCTAATAAAAGATAGCACATTTACCCAAAGAACCTTGTCTGCCTTGAAGCATCATAGAATTACACTAAAATGAAGCTGGAAGAAACCTCAAGCTGTCATCTAGTCCAACCTCCTGCTCAAAGTAGGATTCCTTTTCAGTCATCCCACACAAATGTTTGTGCAGCCTGCAGCCTTCCTGAAAGTTTACCTTAGAATTTAGAACCAGGTTTCTGTAAAATGTATTTATTTATCAAATATTCATGCAGAAGGGATATACTTTGATCAAGGCTCCACAGAGCATAAAATTCTCTTTCTTCCTTTTACTTTCACAGTTGAGGTGCTTCACATACCAACAGGGGATGGGAGCAACAGGGCAGCGAGCACAGTATTATGGCCTCTGGGATCCACATCTCCTAGAGATGGAAACCCAGGTGACTAGGAATAAGTGTACAAGTGTGTACAGAAGTTGCTTTTTTCACCATTTAAAATGTTTTACTGCCATGACTTAACAGAACTGCATGGCATTACAGCACTTTAAATTAACCCTTGTTATATGAGCTATTAAATTTGAAGTACTGTATTATATAGCACTTTTGCAACCTACAGGGCTTTAAATAACTTCTGGACACTGGTCAAATTTCTGACCAGTGGAGAAGCATCAGGAGGCTGTGGAACACCCCGTCTCCCAGCCTTGAAAGTGCAGGGAGGCTTAGAGGTCCCCTTCCCCACCAAACACTGTAACTTCTGTCATGATTAAGAGCGCTGTAAATTTATAGTGCTATAAAAATGGTCTAACTTACAGCACTGTAAAATGTGAACAGAGCACTTCTGTACACACCGAAGGATTGGGGGAACCAGGTGATCCCTGTACACTCTACATTCCAAGCATGCAGAAATGCATAAAGGTTGGAGCTATTCAGTTCTGACCTTTTCCTATCTCTGCATCATTTGTCATTGGTCCTCTCCAGGCTACTCTGGAATCTTGAGACACATTCAGAAATTACTGGAGCTGGAAAGATTAACTAGGATCCATTCCTGCTTTCCACATTGCCAGTTGAATTTTGTATACAACAGCTAGCAAGGATGGACAACCCAAATACCTGAAGAGCTCTCTATACCTTCACCAACTTTTCTAGATTTGCTATTACCACCAATTGATTAGTTTCATATCATAATGGCATTTAAAATATTAAACCCTGTTTCTGAATCTCATTGGAAGCTGGGAGTCTGAAGTAAAGGATAATACTTAATGCAAAGGGTATTAAAAAGGCCAACCAGCAATCCAGGCAGTATAAAGGGATTATTTATGTGGCCAGTATTTAAAGCGCACAATTTCTCTCTCATTCTCCCCATCCCTCCATGTTCTGCTAGGAATTGGCTTGTTTCCAGAATGTAAGGCCTCCCCGAATATTCTTTTAACTTTAATCTAAAGTAATGACTATTATCCTTCCCCCTCTTGTTTCTGGCATCAAAGTCTCCTCATTTCTGCCCAAGACTAGCATCTGCTGGGTAAATGAGTTACTGCAGGCACTAAGACATGTGCATGTAGATGTCCCTATTATGTATTTTCTACCATCTCCTCTTGTTTGCCATTAGTTTCCATTTTTGAAATTGCGTGTGTCAATGACTCGGCATATGTAGACTGTAAGATCTGAACTACTGACTTGAGGTTTCAGGGAGCATGTGGCACCTATTCTCTCCACAGATCTCAAAGCCAAATCTGCTTAACTGACACCATACGGCATTTATACACATACTTTTTTGTCCTGCAACACATCGCAGATCTGCCACTTCGATGCAGTCAATTAATTGAGTCTGTTCTACACGAGTTGAGACAAACTGTGCTATGCCGTGCGCAGCTGTATTAGTGGCAAAATGCACATCAGCGCACAGAAATTGGCAGTGTTGGGCTTTTGAACCAAAGCACCTCCGATGTGTTTTAGTTCAAAAGTGCATCACCACCATTTTTTCAGCGATGACATGCATTTCACCACTTATACAACTGTAAACATCACAGCACCAAGGGCTTGTCAAAGTGACTGGCACTGTGGCGCTCGCACGTATAAAAATGCCCAGCGTTTTTACACCAGTTAGCTGTGCAAAGCCTACAAAAGGCCTGTCTTTCCGCAGAGTTAATGCAGATTAGTTGAATAATAACTTTCAAATGGATTGAGCTAACCACGAGTGGTGCCCTTTTTTCCCCCAGAATAAAAGTATCCACACCCAGAGTTATTCAGGAATAGCTTCTGCACTTTAAATTAGAAGAGACAGTAAAATGCCCAGACTTTAGGGCTGTTTCCAGAGTCAGCTTTTCACTGCTAACTGACCCATCTACTCTGTACCAAGAAAAAAGAAACAGGTGGCAAGATAACATCATTTTTATAGCGTGCTAATGACCTGCAGTAAGGGTTACTTACCCCAGGAACCTCCAGCAATCCTGAGACAAGAAGTGGCAACTTCAGGGCAGCCACACTTCCCGTAACTCCCACCAGAACATGAAATTTCTTTGATGATGTGGACAAGTTGTTTTGTAAGGGGGACTGTGGTTCTGAAAGGTTTACAGGCTCCATCATGCATCCGGGCAACAATCAACATCTATACAAAGAGAAACAAAGTTTACCAACTTTATTTCAAACTTGGCTGCATTTATCCAGCGGATGTGCAGAGAAATAACCTACTTGCTTCCTTTCCAAGAACACAAACACTGTGGCCTTAGTACACTCGAGTCCAATTATAAATCCATCATCTAACCATCTAGGTTTTTGTATTGTACGGGGGAAAAGTCAACAGAAAGTTCCATGCCAAGGCAGATGTCAGTGCATTTAAAGTTTACGTCATGGCTAACTGAAATGAACATGTCTACACTGTAACTTAACAAGCCCTTGCGGCGTACCTAGACGTACCTGGAATTCTAATAACAGCATAGTCACAGTGCCATGACTGTACAAGGCCACCCAGGCCCCAAAGCACTCCCTCAGACAAGTAACCTGACCTGATGTCTTTGCTGGGAAGTGTTCACTGCTACTGTTATCTGAGCTTGCTACATTAAAGCTGGCTTGAGTGTGTCTATCCCTGTTTTATTTACATGTTGGTGGCATAGAGATATAGGCCCAAAGCCCTTTAAAAATATTAGGTCTCATAGCTCAAGGAATTTAGTGCACGTCTTAGGAGTTACCTGTGATCAAGGTGTATGTGTGTGACAACTGCCATCCTGACAAACACCTGACACTGAACCAAGCCCAATGATAAGAGCTGCTATAGCTTGAACTAAACAGGCAGACTCTATAGCAACTAAGTGGATGTAACAAACTCTAAGACTGTGGATTGGGCATAGTGAATGTACTCATCAGTGGGTTATATTTGCAAAATGAAAATCTGCAGTCAGGAGCCCTTCCTGTTGAAGACAATTGCAGTTTAGCCAATATCTAGAATAACCCAATTGCAGAATTGAGATAGCAAAAGTGATTCCAGATCATCAAATGGTAAACATTTGGGAATGAGGGAACATTTGGGAATGAGGGAACATTTTAAAATACTGAGTAAGCCCCTATAATCGTTAATGAACAGAAGCATCATAAGGGATTCTTCCAGTTCTATGAAGGGATACAAAATGATCAACATTACTGAAAAGTGGGTGGATTCTAGCAGATCCTAAATATAATTATTCAATTTCAGGATCAGTCTTGAGATGCAAGGCATTGAGCACTTTGTTACATGCACCAAATCCTTTTCAGCACTCGTTGGACTTTAAGTGTGTATACCCTGTGGTTCCCATGGTTTGGAGGTGGTGGTGTAGATACCATACAGGATGTTTGCTGCTAAATAACGATGATAAGGTTTTAATAGCAATTTTGTCTAAGAGCCTAGAAAAAACTGCCTAAAAATATGCATGAAGACATCATGGCTTTGTTCTGGGAAGGTCAAAAGTGACAATATAAAGAGGTCATTTCATATGACTGACAGCATGCTTCTCCCACCCACTGTGGAAAAGGCAGGTGACTCAGGCAAGTTTGAAGAGATGAGCGCAGGTTCCTTCCTTCCAGCCACTCCTCTTCTCCCCACTCACTGCAGCACAGGCTCTTCCCTCCCGGCTGCTTCTCCTCCC